GCCGGTGGTGGGTCAGGGACGGGGAGGCTGCAGGCTCAGCGTGGCGCAGGCTGCATCCGGCTCAGCCTGGGCGTCCTGGCTGGAAGCTGTCTGGGAAGTTTGCAGCCCGGATGCCCAGCTCGGGGCAGCTGAGGGCCGTGGGAAGGGCAGGTCGATGCTTGGCTGCCGGCGTGTTCTGGTGCTGGCTGTGCCCTGTGCCCACCCACAGCCACGGGCTGGCTGAGCACCACGGCACAGCACAGCCAGGCAGGCGTTTTTTTTTACATCCTGACCTTCTCCCAGGAGAGAGGCAGGCTGGACTCTTCATGCTTGTCCTGGGAGCAACTCTGGCTTTAGAGGTTGGGCTCGGGTCAGCAGGGAGGTGAGCAGTGTTGCACATAACCCATTCACAGTGGCGTTCAACAGGCACTGCCATCTGGCACGGTGTCCCATGCACTGGTGAGCCAGAGGGATGGGGATGCCACAGGGACCAGCACAGGCACAACAGACAACAATTAGCAGTGCTGGGGCTTGCTAAAGGGACAGTTACCTACCTGCGTCCCTGCTCCACATCCCTCAGCTCTGTCCTGTGGTGGAGCAGGGAAGGTACCGTGGGATCCAAGGCATGACAGTGATTTAAACCCAGGCTGGAAGCTGAGTGGTCCTGCCTGGTGTGATGGGTGAGGAGCAAAGGGAGCCCCGCCGGGCAGGGCAGTCCAGCCACTCCTACTGTGTGGGACAGGGATGAGGTGGGCCTTCCAGCCTTAAGCCCAATGTGCCGGTGAAGCCATCGCTCCACGTAGGGCTGTGACTGTCACCATCACCTGCTCCAGTCTTTACATCCCGGCTGAGCCCCATGTCTCTCCCTGGCAGAGGCCCCGGTGAGGATCGTCGGCTCCAATGAGGAGGACCCCGCCGGGCAGCGTGTGGAGCTGTGGTGCCAGCTGTCCCGCCCGGCTGCCCCGGTGCGCTGGTACAAGGACGGGGAGGAGGTGGAGGCAGGCGAGAGCCTGGTGCTGGAGCAGGAGGGACCACGGTGCCGGCTGGTGCTGCCCTGCGCCCGGCCGCAGGACGCAGGAGAGTTTGTCTGCGATGCTGGCGGGGACTCCGTCTTCTACACCATCACCGTGGCAGGGGGGCACGATGCACAGCTACGACCCTCTCTCCCATTTCCCTCCACCCCATCTCCCTGCTCTCACTGCCATCCTGCTGGAAGATGCAGCATCTTGGCTGCCCCTTGCTGCCTGGTGAGCTGCTCCTTACACATGCCCCTGGGCTGGAGAGGGACATGGGCAGGGATCAGCTGCCCTGTTCCTTCCCCAGACCCCTGTGCTGTGCTGCCCCTCTACACCGCAGGGCACAGCCACGCTGCCTGCCCATCGGCTGTGCCACCTTGCACCCCAGCCCTGCTGCTCCCTTGCCTTTCAGCTGCCAGCACTGCAGGGAGGGGAGGACCCTGGCTGCTGGCCCTAGAGCGGGTGGGATGGAGGCCAGGTGATGCAGGGTCTTGGTCCTCTCAGCCCCGCAGGTCTGCATCACACCGGTGCCTGAGGCACAGCAGCTGCAGGAGGTGCTGGCAGGGCTGCCCATGCTGCTGGAGTGCCAGGTGTCCCCCCCAGATGCCCCTGTCCACTGGCTGAAGGACGGTGAGGCTGTGGTCCCGACCCAGGTCCTGGCCATCTGCTCAGAGGGATGCTTGCGGAGGCTGCACATCCCCACAGCCACGCTGTCCGACTCGGGGACGTATACCTGTGATGCCGGGGACGATGCCGCCAGCTTCAGGGTGATCGTGACTGGTGAGCTGCGCGGGGGTGCCCGTCCTCTCGTGGGGTCCTCCACCCCCCCAGCTGAGCCTTGATGCGTGTCCCCCGGCAGAGA